AATTGATACATCCACAACCACTTAGCACCCACTCATCGAACCAGGAAGACACCGTCAGCAGACGCTGATTGCAGTTCATGAAGACGCAAGGACATCCGCACACCATCGACTAAATATGTAATACTTTCGGTGAAATGGGAAAAAGCAAAACGAAGGGAGGTGCTGACTCCTCTGCATCACCATTACATTTCTTTTTTTGGTCTTAACTCACGTGCTCAACTGAAACCTAAATGTGTCAGCAAAACCATGTCTGGGGTTCGGATTCTGTTTATCGCGCATCTGTAAACATGACCTATGGCTGAGTCGATGAGGTGTCTCAAGGTTTCAAAAGTATCATGTTGCTACGTAAGTGCAAGGGTTATGAGACATTGGGCAGTAAAAAAGAAAAAAATATAATGATGAACGCAGCTCTTCCATATGCTCTTTTCCCCTATACTATGCTCGCAAAGTGGATATTTGTCATGCTTAATACAATGGTGTGCAATCGGGGACGTGTATGCACCGACATCACAATTCAGTCCTGGATTACATTAGGTGAAAAGGAGAATTGAAAAGGGAGAGAAAGAAGAGAGCAAGTCCTCTAGACCAAGACCGTAAGGTGAAAAAGAAGAAGAAAAAAAACAACCATTTTCACTCATGACAAGAACGGAGACAACGGAAGCAGACAATCGCTGAGGGAACCCACAGGTCGGAGAATCAGAGCGCAATTCGTGATAACAGTGCATCGAATGATAGCCAGAACTCCAAATTCCTTGCCCACTCCTTGCTTTGTAAAAACAGCGCAAACAGAAAGATAAAAGTGCCAAGTCATGAAAATTATCCCTTCGAGGGATAGAAATTGAAAACAAAAATGTCCCCTGCAAAGCCGCAAGATAACGCCTCGTTTAAATGCTTCGCCGTTGAAGGCATTCTTCCAGGTTTCTTCAGGAATCATGCCTCCATGATCGCATCACCATCTTTATCCACCCCGTTAGGCCCATCTGTATGCTCATCCACCACCGCATTATGGTTTGTAGTACCATGCTCTTCTGCCGGAATGACGAACTCGAACTTTTCTACCACCGCCTTTCGGTTCATGGATCTGGTAAGTTTGGCTGTACTCTCAGCACTTACATCTTTGGTAGGCGTCACTTGTTCTGTAACATGAAGCTCTGTGTCCACGGTTTCCACCCGGTTGATACCATTCAGCTGACTCGGCCCGTCCTGATCTGTAGCTTGGGCATCTGTCTCCGATAATCCATCAGGCTGAGCTGGGTCTTGTTCCCTACCCTTGGTAACCTCATGATCAGGCAGCTGGTCGTCATTCTCGACACCGTTAATCTCAGTACCAGTCGATTCAACTGCAGGAGAGTCTAGTATCCTTGCACTTCGACCGCGCCGGACGCTAGATGCATTTGCAGTAGGGGTCATAGAGACTAGTGCAGATGATCTTCTAGGTGTGTTACGACCACTAGTGCGAGCAGTTGATGGAGTGACAGCTACCTTGTTGTAAGTGGTCTTGCTGCCAAAGGGCCGACCTGGGCGTCGTTTGACAACAGGCGCCTGCACAGGAGGGTAAACCTCAAATCGCCAGGCTGGTATATCTTGGACTGGGTTTGACTCTGTGAGGTTAGAGTCCGCGGCTGGTTCTGTGCGATGTAGGCCGGTACCATTAGTCAAAAGTTCAGTCGAAGGAGGCCCGGCAGGTTCAGCGGAAAGTCCCCCGGACACAGCTTGTGCAACACCATTTATGGCCGGTTGAGGGTTATCGTCTCCATTGACTTTGCCCGAATTTTCTGAAAGTTGTTGCTCTTCCTCGTTTCCAGAATCCTTTATGTCCTCGACCTCTTCTTCTTCCAGGCCTTCCCGTGGGGCAACTGCATGTATCGGAGCCCTATCGAACTGTGACTGGTTGCTTCGACCCATTATGTAGGGCGTCCACACAAGAGCATCGGGATTGAGCTGAACATAGCCTTTACTTTCCCAGCTCTGTATGCATTCTTCGAAGTATTTGTAGTCAAGTCGTAATGCATAAGTTTTCGTTACTGGATCTCTGACAAGTGCGCGCAAAGCTTCAAGGCCTGAAACAATGTCGTCTGCTGTCATGCCTGTCCGCTCTGAAAGCTCCACGATACTAAGTGGCGCCTTCTGTTTATGAAGCTGGTATGACAGAATAAGCCTCCAGTAGTTCCGATAAGATACTAACCCCATATCCGAAAGCGGCTTCTCGGGCGACCCGGTTTTCCCTTCGATGCGCGTGAGTAGGTATGAGAAGTCAATGAGAAGGTTACCATAGCCTTTTCGCTGATGAATGGGTAGAGTAAGGATACAGGAAACGTTATTCGCGGAGCTGGGCCGTTTTTCTTTGCTAAAATAGCCAACAAAATGGCAGCCCAAGTCGTCAAATTCGGTCATGATGTAGAAGAGAAACGGCTCAACGTCGTAGTATAGAGTCTTTGACCCGAGAAACAGTTTTGCGAGCAGGCAGAGATTCTGACAGTATACCGGGTTCTTTCTTCCGTCAACTTCGAAGATCGAAATCGAACCGTCACGGTAGATTTCATCTCCGGGCGGATGCTTTGCCGGACACTTAAGCTTGTGGCGCCACGCGACATAGTCCGAGTTCATGTACTTTAAGCAAAACTCACAGATGTAAAGAACACGGTTGCGGCTGTATTCTTCTGGATAAGGCGCTGCGTACCAGGTCTCAATCTCATAGCCACCAAAGTTGATGTACTTGATCCTGGACGGTGGTCCTGAGACCTTCTGTGCCGCATGCTGTACAGGCTCTCCGCCGCTCTCGGCTTCCATGACACGCCTTTGCCATTCTTCTTCAGCCTTTTGTCTCGCTACCTCGAACCTCTCACGGTCAGGCTGCATCGGGAGAGTCTTGGTGGTGTCTGCGTCTGCTTCTGACAGAATGCCACCGTACGGTTTTGATTTAGATTCGTCCATCTCGCGATCGTTGAAAGAATAGAAAGGGGACATGTATGACACGGGTATAATAGGAGCAAAATGTGCTGGGGGTCCATGTGCCACCGGGGGTGGCTTAGGGGTTCTTCGACCCCTGTGCTGTGACCGACTGCGAGAACTCAGGATTTTAGACAGCTTGGTCTCGTTGAGTCGAAAAGCTAACACAAGCCTTCCGAACTGCCTCAATACCACGCGGCAATCTTCCTTTTCCCCTCCCCGCACACGGCGAGAGCGAGTTCGTACTGGAGACAGGGCGTCTGAGGCTTCGCCCAAATGGTCTCCCGACTCAGCCCGCTCGGACCGTAAGGATGTCTGTCTCTGCCGTTTTCGAAGCACAGGTGTATGCTCCTGTACATCTGCTGACAAGGTTTTCCTTTTTCGTAGCGATCGCGAGCTGTTCAATAAGTTATCATCATCAATATCTACAGTATTGAAAATCGAGTGAAAGCCAGAGCCCTCTTCGCCGGTATGTGCTGGCAAGAGCTCTTTTCGCATGTTCTTCGGGCCGAGCCTTCGATGGGAACCATTTCCATCAGAGTTTGGCTCCAGCTTTTCCCGAACGCATGTAGGACATCTCCAAGTGTTGGCATCTAGACTGGGTCAGTCCCAATGTCTATCAAACCCATTAAAACCAAACACTCGACATACCTTCGACATCACTTAATGCACTTTGTTCGCGGGCACATTGCCGGTGAGCTGTTGGGTCGCCGAGTCAGTAACGATCGCCGAAAGTTTTGGGGGTGGCTAACGCCATGGTTTTACGGGGCCGCAACTCCACGTACAGTGATCGCCACAAACTGTGCATGTCAAATACTCCTCAAAGTCTTCACTCGGATCATGGTCTTCATCTTGTCCACAAAATCTATGAATTTTGTTAGCATATCAATCTGACAAATAATATCATGCACGGGATAGGGAGGAAGCGGAAATAATTAAATAGAGGGTAACTCACATGCAGTTACCGCGCACCGTGTTGTTATCCACTTCCGCATCATCATGATCATTACTCTCACCATCCCACTCTTCATCGTCATCCTCCTCCTCATCAGATTCCTGGCTACTTGAACTAGAGCCGGACGCATCTTGGTCGCTGTCACTTTGGTTCTCGAAAGCTGCATCACCCTCGGCGTCGGCGGCATCCTCGTTATCCAAAGAAGGTTTCCCTTTCGGTAACTTCACAGCTCCCACCGGTTCAGTCTCATCATTTTCGCCGTTGAAGTCCAAATCAGAATCCGGCTCCCCGTCCGCATCTTTATCATCCTCGCGGCTAGCACTGTTGCTTTCTTCTGCAATCTCTCCCGAGTATGCCCTATGTACAGCATCCTGGAGTTGTTGATCCATCTGATATAAATCCGTCTCCTCCTCTCCCTCCGCATCCTGGTCGCTGTCAACCAGATCCGGGGGAGGCCTCATTTCGGTGTCATCGTCAGCCGGCGGCGCAGTTGCCGCCATGGTGTATGTCACTGTGGTCGCCAGTTTGAGCAGCTCCTGCTTGTCTCCAGTAAGAGGGTTCGTGAATAAAGATAGCCTGGAGGTTGAGGCTATTCATTCGCCGCAGGAGTAGACAATCATCTGGCGCTGCACGTAATAGGCATCGGGAACAGAAACGAACGACCTTGGATACAGATGATCCAAATAAAAAGCGAGCTTAAGAGTATCTATATGGTAGCGCAAGCGATAACCCCTGAACACAGCGCAGCCGAAGCGACAGTCAGTTAAGGAGCTGAACGGACGACTCCGATAAGGACAGACAGCGCGTAGAAGGACGCAATGGGAACCATACCGCACAGACCAGCAGGTCAGAGACGTCAAGTAGAGCAGAGCCAAACGCGTAGATCAGCAGCGGATACACCGTCCGAGGGCCTATCCAGCATCCAGAGCACTCAGCTGCGGCCGCTCGCCCCTTCTCCAGCCCGTGAGGTTGATGGCCGCGGCTGACTCAGCCGGCTGGACCCCCCGGTCCCACGCTAATCCGCTTTAGGCCAACCTCCAGACCTCGACGTCGGCGGATTCCCGCGGCCACAAGAAACGACGACTTCCCCTCCGCTTTTGTTGGCGTGTCAATCCGCATTCCTCTCTTAGCTCTCGCCTTGTTTGTTATCTCAATCGCACAGAATGGGTGTTCCTTTTGAGGCTCTGATCCCCTATGGGATCATCGTCGGCGTACGTCAAGCGTTTTCTCCGACACTTCGATCGGCCTACTGATGATGCTATAACAGATGTTTGGCCTGACCGGCGCTGGTCTTACTGCTGTCAAGTGGCTCGGGAATGATGGAAAGAAGGCCCGCTGGAACCGGGATCTGTGGGACAGAGTAAGTATCCCCCAGTTTCATAGGATGTGATCGAACCCGGTCGGCTAACACCCGCTCAGCAAAGTATGTGACTTACCCAGCAATTGACAATTGAATGATATACGATTACCCTCCCCGTTCAGCGGACGAATAGACGGAATGCTAACGACTGATTAACTATCCGGTAGTGATGGAGAGAGATTTGAGAATCACAGGATCCTTGAGAGGCCAATCAGGCAACGCAGAAGCCCCGAAGGGATTCGAGCTTAGCAACCCATGGAAGGTATGATGCATGCCCGAGTCTCATTCAACGTGTCGGAGAGAGATCTAATAAATCGAACAGCTGGAAAAACGGATCTTCTAAGCCACTCCGACTTGTCACAACCTATGTCATTTATATTGCCTATTTGCTCGCCTGCCACTTTTCAATAAATACCATGCAATGATTAGAAGAAGCCTTCTTGTATCATATTACCAGGCCAGCAAAAAGCGGCAGGGTAGTCGCGAACCCCAAAATTCTAATTTGGACTATCTAGCTTCTATTTAATCTGAGATACTAAGCCCCGAACCCCCTCAATATCGTGTTCGAGGAAGTGCATATCAAACCACTTAGCCAGAGCGTTGACCCTATCCTCTTCTTTTTCGAAAGTCGCCAGCGTCTCTGTCTCCCCACGGAGTCTCTTCTTCACCTCTTTGCCGGCCAGGATATAGATGCCGATCGGCTCATTTCCTGTCTCGTCCAGGATGACCCGTGTGCACACCAAAGCCTGCACGAACCAACTAGTCGGCCGGTGACTAGTAGAGTAGTTCATAGTGGCAAAATCCTGCGGTAGAAACTCCACCTCGGAAAACGAGTACTGCGGTATCCAGTTGCTTTCCGGGTTGTGTCTGATCTGGTAAATCCAGAGCTTCTGACTTCTATCGGTGAATTCAATGGGCGTATCTTTGACTAGACGCATCTCAGCCGGCGCCATGCATACAGCGATGGCGCCATCTTCTTTGAGCGGCAGTGGACTTGTAGGACCAAAGTTGCCGAACCCGACGTCAACCTGTTCGATTCCCGCATCAGAGATGGCCGACATGTACTCAGTAGGGAAGTAGAAGTTACCATGTATCTTTGACCGTCGATAGTTACAATAAGAACCATATGTCCCCTGTATAGCTCATTTAGCGGTGTTCTTTCATGTCCCATGGCCCGCTTTCACTCACAAACTCATATACAGCTCACTACCGGGAGTCTGGTTCCCGCCGGCCACGGCGGTGCTCACCCGTCCACCAGTTGGATAAACCGAGTATCCCAGGGACCGTAGCACCATATAGAACAAGTTGGTATTTTCCATACAATACCCGTCCAGACGGCGCACGACCAATTTATCAAATATACACGCGGGGTGAACAGAAATGGATCGGTGCTGCGAGTAATGCAAGGCCGAGTTTCCCCACGGGATGGCGGCCAAATGCCGTCGTTGCAACTCAATCAAGGTCGCCAGGCGATCCTGCTCACTTGATTGCAGGACATGTTGCAGCCGACCTGTAGTGCTGTCTGGCGTGGGGTTGACCGAGTTGGCATATCCGATTCGCTCCAGGTAGAGTTCCAGTTGTTCGGCGTTGTACGTCTGGGGTGGGGAAGCCATGATGGGTATATATATGTGTAAAGTTCTATAAGATTTGAGGATACAGCGACTAAGGATAAGGGGGTTCGCGGGGATGCTTGTATGTACATACCCTAGTGCTCAGCAATTGATCAATTGTGCTACGTATTCTAATACTTTATTCTGGGGTTATCGGCAGTGCTAATAATTCCGTTGGAGGCGACGGCTTGGAACCACGGCACTGACCACTTTATTAATAGTTTTATTACCAAACTAATTCGGTTGGTTGGTTGGTAATACGAAGAGCTTTAGTCACACATTGGTCATCGAGATCTCGTGGGCCCTAGGAAGTGTCTATTATAACTAATTATGCTTAAATTGGGCTTCCAAGCATCTCTCACTACTGCACAGTATGCGAGTATGCGTTGATCAATCGGACGCGTGGCGGGGAAATTCCCGGTAGTTCATTCGAGAGTTCAGGTGCCTGGGCCGAAACCTTAGAATTTATCAATTTTTTTTTTGGAATCTATAAAATTCGATGATGTCAGTTTTCCCGATCCTCGGTCATTTTTGTATAAATCCATCAGTCACGAGATTCACCCACGACTGAAGCCTCGGATGATAGCGGAGCACAAAATGCTCTACTATGATTTTTATTGTTCAGAACCTGGGCTCTCCATTTTTACGATTGGACAAGCCCAGGGTGTGACGCAGGGATCAATAGACTAGAAAATCAGTAGATTGGAAGAAAACTCAGTACGTTCAAGGGTCCCATGCATGGATTGCGTAGGTGTTGATGTTGCAGTTTGTGTTTGCGGGCTATTTGCGAGTGATTGGAATACTGCAATGGTGGTGACTGTAGTATAATCAACACTTCAGAATGGACGTCCGAGCATTACTTAAGAGTAGATGGTACGAGAACCCAAAGACTCCTGTCAAGCGTAGGGAACTAGTCCGGCTAATGGGACAGCGGTAGTGAACTATGGGAGCAAAATCATAACAGCGATAGATTCCTTTTACACATAAATATTGAGGACATGTCCAGTCTATTATACTGATATGCACTTCATATCACCAGTTCAGGAAACAGCCAGGAATATAATCGTATGGACACACTCTCCATTACCTACTTAGACTATTTCAGTTGCCATTTTCTATTTAGATAGAACCACTTCTAGTCTAGCAAGTTGTACCCCGGACTTTTGTACATGATTGACATGGATCGGCAATACAAAACTAAAAACCGGTTTCCTCGCTCGAAGGACGCGGTTCCTTGTATGAATTAATATATCCACCAGCACACGGCCTATCTGTGTGATTCTTGATAGGCTTACCTGTAGGTATGTTCATTTCTGGCCTGCCTTTATAGCCCACCCAACCGAACGCTCTCAAGCAGCATCTTAACTCCATAATTTGCTCCGCTTGGGCCCTCCCTACTATCGAACATGTCTACCCTTCAGAATCAGAACTGCAAATCTGAAGACGTCAAGATAGATAATGGTCAGACAGTACCGGCAAAACAGGAAGCCTCAAACGGTACTTTTCCTATAAACCAAGTCTCTTTTCTATGTCCCTCCAAGATGCACAACTAACCCGTGATATTCATAGGTGATAAATCCATCAGTCTACAATGTGGGTCCGATGATTCTACCAAAAATGACAGTTGCACCAATCCCAATGCCACCGGACAAGCGAACGTCCATGATAATAGCGATGCGGATTGGGAGATAGTCAGCAGCGTGCAGGATGGCGAAAAGGATAACGACCGGTCGTTCCATGGGCATACAGGACATTTTAGCATTGATGTGGGTTGGGGTAAACGGAAACATCGGTTGTATTCGAGTGATTGGAGCTTTGGTCATTATCATCATGATCATCCTCATGGTCACCAATATCATGATGATAAACATGGCGAGGAAGATAGTAAAGGTCAGGTGAAATAATGCCCTATATCATGGGATGTTCTGCCTAAGGCATCGCGGCCACGCCTCTACCCCACAGTTATTTCGTACTCCATCTCCCCAACCCGAACCAGTGTAAACCCATTTCTGCATAATATATAGATAAATATGGTATAAATATGCTTATTAATCATGGTTTTTCATAACAATACCATTAATCCATTGACGTATAAGCGCCAATCTCGCCTTCCTATAAGCTCCGATCAACCGAAACCCTAGTAGCACCTATAACAGTATATATATCTCAACATCGAATGGACTCCATCCCCAGATTCCTCTCCAGGACACTCCCCCACCTGAGGACGACCGCTTCCCGAATCCCCTGTAGAGGAATCACCCCACTCACTATCCCAACTGTCAAACGTACCATGTCAACATCAATCGAACAAAAGCTGGACGTTCTGCGGAACTACTCTGCATGTGATGTATGACACAACCAGTACAACGATTCTGAAAAAAAAAAA